ATACAGATAGTAATGATAAATTACGTATATTAATTAATTAACACTTCCCCGTTTCTCCGCGGTGTCCATCCTTCACGAGTCCTACCATAAACACTTCTGTTAATTTGTTGCGCTACATAATGATGACGGAGCAATAATTGTTTTATTTGACAGCACCATTATTCGAGAGTATGTTTCGTGCAGTTTTCTTTTCCAAAGATTTCTGTCCTCATCATTTTTCTCCGAAATAGATGTCAGGAATCCGGGATTATTTTAGAATACGAAATGATTAAAACTATTTAAGAAATTCACAAAAATTTATAATTGCAACAAATTATTATCTAAAAATTATTAACTTAATGATTTATGTTGATGTTTACGATAAATTGTTAAATGACTTATGGTGATATTGTTTTAAATCATTTACGTCTGATTTACAAATCCGAACTCGTTTAATGAAAGATTAAAAGTTAATTGATTAATTACTATAAATTTTGATACATCAATCTTTTGTATCTCATGGTTAACATATGCAGAACAAAAATTGAATTGTTGTTGTTCAATTTAAACACTCCAACTAAATTCCTGAAACAGTTTCATGATAAAAATGAAGTGGCGATTTTATAAAAGAAATACAACGGCATAAAATTTTTTTTCAAAGATCGTAAATAGGCAATTTCAAAGGTCGTAAATAGCCAATAATGAATTTCATGTTGGAACGAAGATCTGATGACTTTCTGTTACCTTGAAATAGGCCGATTGATATTTCACAGTTTACCGGTTGTTTTTATTCTACACCATTGATGTGATCATCGATAGAGGACAACGGGCCTATTATTTGTTTGGATTACATTGATGCTGAAATAGAAGTTAAGGTTGTCGTGAGTTTTAGTGAATGAGTTGCATTAGGTTATACTTTAGTGAATTGTTTAATAGGTGTTATTTTAATCTTTCAGTTACAATTATTCAACATTTAGGTAATTTGTATTCGATTTTGAAAAAAAAAAGGACTCATCGCAGATTACAAATAGGACTGATAGTAGGAGAAATCAGTTCAATGGTATCAATGGCAAATATTCAAGCAGAGATGAATATTGATGGAGTGAAGACGAGAACTGTTGAACAGTTGATTGCACCATTGATACAGCAGGTAATCAAATCTACAAAAGCTTACAATTACTAAATTTATGAACGTGTGTAATGATAAGGCCCGAAATTTAGTGTGTATTAGTGATGCCTGTTTGATAGGACTATAGCTATAAAATTGAGCCTTCTGGTGATTTTCAGCTCCTAAATTATT